CGAGATGAAAAGTTCATAAATGGAGAGTACTATGCCAGTTTGTTGAGGCAGTTACAAAAGGTTATCCAGATCAGACGCCCAGGAAAAATGACAAAATGGATCTTGTGTCATCAAGACATTGCTCCAGCACACAAGTCCTTGTTTTAAATGGCTGCTGTGCTCGACTGTGTCTTGGAATTGGTTGATCACCCTCCTTACTCTCCTGATTTGACAATCATCATCTATTCTCCAAATTTTGGAAAGTTTTCTGACACCAGATCAAAAGTGTTCCATTCTGTTTACATCACAGGAAAATCTGGCATTGTTTGAGGCAGATCCATCTGGTTTTCTTGAAAGATTCCTAACCCAGTATGTGTATTGAAGGTCAAGATTGTTTCATCTGCAAAGAAGGTGATGGCCTCGGTTTTTTATAAGTTACAGGCATTGTGGTTATGAGCTATCTTCAAAGTGGCCTCACCATCAATGGAGAGAACTATGCCAACTTGTGAGGTAGTCAAAGGCTATCAAAAACAGACACCCAGCAAAACTGACAAAATGTGCTTTGTTTCACCAGAACAATGCTCCAGCACACAAATCCTTGGTTTCAATGGCAAATGTGCTCGACTGTGGCTATGAATTGATTGTTTCCCCCCACACACCCACCCACTGTTTTCTTGATTTGACTATCATCTGTTACCCAACATTAAAAAACACTTGTCTGTGAAATGTATTGCAGTGATGTCATATGTGATGGAGTTGTGAATATTCTTCACAATGAACTTGGCATGAAGAAGATTTCTGTGCGGTAGGTGTATCGTTTTCTGACACCTGATCAAAAGCGCTCTAGGCTGATCACATCATGGGAAAATCTGGCATTGTTTGAGGCAGATCCAGCTGGTTTTCTTGAGAGTTCCCTAACCAAGGATGAGTGTTGAGTTTCTCACTTTGAGCCAGAGACAAAGAGACAATCCATACAGTGGAAATATCTCTTCACCTGCTGCAAAGAAGGTCAAGATTGTTTCATCTGCAGAGAAGGTGGTGTCATCAGATATTTTGAGATGCAAAAAGCATTGTGTTTATTGACTATCTCCAAAAGGGCCACACCATCAATGGAGAGTACTATGCCAACTTCGTGACTCAATTACAAAAGATTATCAAGACAAAACACCGAGGAAAACTGACAAAATGGGTCTTATTTCATTAAGACAGTGCTCTAGCACACAACTCTTTGCTTTCAATGACTGTTCTCTTGATTTGGCCTAATCTGACTATCATCTGTTCCCCCAACATGAAAAAATATTGGCTGACAACCCGTATCGCAGTGACGTCATATATGCTATTGCTGACTTTTTTTACCAAAATGAAGTTTTTTCACCATTGGGATTCTACCACTACCGTGACGATAGAAGAAGTTTGTGGATCACAAGGAAGACTTTTCAGCCGACCCTCATATTTATAACGTTGCAGAATGTTTCTTTATAGAAAGCCTATGTTCTTTTTTCTGCTATCCAGGGAGAGTTGACTATCTTTTTTCAATTCTTCTTTGTTCGTTACAACCAGTGTTGTATCATCTGTGGATTGGGCACCTTGTCGTGGTGTAATGGCTAGCAAGCTTCTCCCGCTAGATCAGTTACGACTGAAAAGTGATTTCTATCCTCACAAGGTGCCCCAACGTTTACAAAATAATTATATCATCTGTTGATTTGCTGTTCCACATCTCGATCTTTTCAGCAACAATCTTACCAACTCCCGCTGAAAAATCTTTTTAAACCTCTCATGATCTTCTCATCAATCACGATAGACAGAGTAAATAACTTTGTCTCTTTACTGTCTCAAATCAAAGGGCTTATGACTTTGAAGTTACACTCTAGACGAGAGGCTCCATAGATTCTTTATCAAACATATGAGATGTGGTACACGAAACTCCAATAATGAACTCCATAAAGCAGGGGTGATCAAGCCGAGTTACTTGACCCCCCCCCCAAAGAGTCAGATTAAGGATATGATAACTCTTATACTAGTGTTTTGACTCACTCTGCATTTTAGGTGAAGGTTTGTGATCAATATGAAAACGAAAAATATAAAACATACAACAACTTGGGTTTGTACTACGGACGTATATATTTTTATGGTGAAACAAAGTTTTCAATGTTTCTTGAGTATATCCGTTTTCAGAAGTAAGGTATGAACAGATTAAAAATGGCCGAGCTTAAGTCAGCGTTGAGCTGACTTGGGATGACCAAATCACTTACTTCATGAGTAGGGCAGTTAAAACACGTCGTTGAAAATTGGGAAAAGAAATATCAGAAATGGTGTCATAAAATCGCACATAAGACCAGAACCGTTTTTCTGGCTACTTTATAATTTGCATCATGGGAAAAATAATTTATTTTATTCTTTATTATTGTTTTATTTATTGCCTTTATTTAATTTTCCCACAGTAGTCAGAGAATGGCTACTAGAATTTGATACATACATACACACATACCAAGGCCACAAGATGAATACGTGACATGATTTAAAACAAAACAACACAGAAAATTTAAAACATCGAAATAGGAATTAAACAAATATTCTACTGTAGACATTCACCTTTCGTTTTATTTAGCATGCAACTAATAAATACACCGCTATAGCCATTTTATTTTTGTTTAAATCTCGAGTCATCGGGCCCCGTCACAGTTTACGAATTCTCCAGGGTCCAGTTAGCGATGAGAATCAACCAGGTAGGTTGTAAATAGGAAAACCTCGTGTGATTTTTGCTCAGATTTCTCATCGAAGCTGAAGGACGTTGGAATTACTTGCTAGATATTCGCTTGGTACCTCTGGATGTGAATACGATTCAAACTAGTGTTGATTATTTCTTACTACCGACAATTTAAATGCAATGTCAATCGTTATCTACTGTCCTCTAGATTACTCTTCTATTGTTCTCCCTCCTCGATAATTTTCTAACTCTTTTACATCCCGTGTTTCTAGGATACGTAATGAGAAAGGAGGGCCTGGAGAATCTAATACTCACAGGTTAAATAGAGGAAAAGAGAGACAAGGGAAAGCAACACATGACACACCTGGTGGGCTTAAGCAAGTTGGATCACAGTGTCGTACTAGACAATCTTTTCTCTCCATAATCTATCTTTCATATTTATAAGTCTACCAATCGTCCACGTTCCAAAATATTGCTGCCATATATAGTAAATATTTATAGATTCTTGATAAAATCCAAAGAAGAATCTGCAATGTCAAGTATCTTAAATGTGTCTTTCTCTATAGATACTTTGATGTTATTTTTTCTGATGAATTTTCTTCTGTGGTACCTAGACTTTACGAATTTAAGCGCAGCACTAGATTGGCAGTTAGGTCTCATCATTTTACAGTTGAATTGGCTAGATATAAACATAAGTCCTTTGATAAAACTTTCTTTTCTCGCAGTTCCACTCACTATAACACTCTTGCAGCTTCTTGGTTTCCTCTCATCTTTGATATTCAAACATTTTAATGCAATGTCAATTGTTAACTACTGTTTTCTTGATTTCACTTCTTTTATTGTTCCCACTCCCTAATGTTTTTCTTTTTCTTATTCTTTTATACTCAGCAACGCCTTTGTATCTTAGTCGCTTTGTTGCCTTGCTGGGGTAAACTGATTTATATATATATATATATATATATATATATATATATAGTTTATATCCATCTCGCACACTATATATATTTGTGTGTATATATATATATATATATATATGTATATAGTTCATATCCATCTCACACACTAAATATATATATATATATATATATATATATATATCAATATATATATATATATATATATTATATAGCTTATATCCATCTCAAACACTATAAATATATATATTTGTATATATATATACATAGTTTATAACCATCTCACACTATATATATATATATATATATATACACACACACTATATATATATATATATATATAGCTTATATCCATATCACACACACTATATATATATATATATATAGTTTATATCCATCTCACACACTATATATATATGTGTGTATATATATATATATATATATATATATATATATATATATATATGTGTGTGTGTGTGTGTGTGTGTGAGAGAGAGAGAGAAAGATGGATAAATTTTCGTATAAATGACTCAAAAATGAAAATAACACTGACATCTCATTTCAACAGCAATCATTAACAAAATAATCTTGAAATGCTAAAGAGTAAATTTATTCAATAAAATCATCTTTGGCTTTAATCATGGCCTCCAGCCGACTTCGGAATCTCCTGCAACTCTTCTGGGCGGTCTCCTTGTTTAAGTTGGTGAATGCTAACATAAACCATGCCTTCAGTTCATTGTTGGTGTTAAAAGGAACTTTGTTGATCTCTCGCTCAATTGTGCCCCACACATAATGATCAAGGGGGTTGCAGTCTGGGGAGTTATGTGGCTAGATGTAAAGAGTGATGAGATCGCCGAAATTGTCTGACAGACATGACTGGGTTCTCCTGCTTGTGTGGCATGGCGCAGTGTTCTCTTCCAGCAGCCACCCTCTTAATCCAGAGTAGCACTACCTCCACAGGGCACTTGATGTAGGCATCCGTGTTGAATCTGAGGCCCTCGCCAACAAATTCTCGAGTTCTTTTCTCATCAGAATGATCAGAGTGTGTTTTCCGAGCTGACGTACCTCCATAATCACCATTAAACTCATTCAACTCTTTCCGAATCCTGTGCAGTGCTCTCAGATTTACACACACACACACACACACACACACACACACACACACACACACACACACACACACACACACACACACATTGAAATGTTCATATTGAAGCTTTCGGCGCAAATGCCAAGCAGTACAGCATGACGTTTCCAAATTTCTGGCGGAGTGAATTGTGTCATGATGTAATTTTTCTCACTGCTGACCCTTCTACACTGTGCAGTCAACAAAATCAAAAACAAACAACGCGCATGCGCAAAATTTGAAATATAAAATGGCGAGAATTTACCCATCGCACCAGATAGATAGATAGATAGATAGATAATGAACAGACTGAGAAGGATAGATAGATAGATAGATAGATAGATAGATAGATAGATAGATAGATAGATAGATGAACAGATGGAGAAGGATAGATATAATGATAGATAGATAGATAAATAGAGATAGATAGATAGATAGATGAGAAGGATAGATAGATAGATAGATAGATAGATAGATAGATAGATAGATAGATGTATCTATCTATCTATTGATCGATCAACACTTCGATATGAGCAGACTTAGAAAGAAAGAAAGAAAGAAAGAAAGAAAGAAAGAAAGCTTTGCATTTTTTGGACTTGAATAGAAACCTTTTTAGTGATGTGCCGGTTCCATAACGTTTATTGGTAGGAACCAGAATTGGCCTGTCGAGTCCAAATCCTAGCCACGTCTGTAACTTCCGGAATATTACTCTAAGGAAAGAATTTACCCATCGTACCAGATAGATAGATAGATAGATAGATAGATAGATAGATAGATAGATAGATATGAAATGAACTGACTGAGATAGATAGATAGATAGATAGATCAAAAATGTTAATATGGACAATTTCTGCATATCAATTTTTATTAAATCTTTCAAATTGAGAGAATTCTTGCTACCGTAATACAAAAATACTGCCAAAGGGCGCATATTTTTCTAGCAAGATTTCTCGAATACTCAGGCTGGTTGATGTAAATAAATAAATATACTGTTTAATAAATAAATAAATAAATAAAAATAGGACATCTACTCACATATGTGTATCGATTTAAAAAGAAAGTTTAAGCAAATAAATTAAATATATAAATTGTTCCTGGCGGTGTTATGTGCTGTTTTCATGTTAAGTAAAAATTGATAGCCATTGCCAGAAATATTCTTATTTTCGATATTTAATTTTAAGTTTTCTCGCGAACACATCTACACAAACTTTGATTTTTATATATTAGAAGAGTATTTTATGGTTTTTTGCTTCCGGAAAAAAAAACATTAAAATATTAAATAGAGGGAAGAAAAACATTTTCCATTGAAATGTTTTACGCACAAAACGTGTCTTTCATTTTTAATGTCAAACCGATTGCTTTTCTCTTTAAATAAACTCAGTAAAGATCAATTGATTCTTAAACAAAACAAATTGACATATTTTATCATGATATTGATTTCGAGGTAAACGTCCTTGTTTCACTCAGTCTGCCTGTAATTTCTTCCGAGATCAGGATTATTTTAACTCTGATTTAAAAGTGCTAGATGTAAACACTTTTCTGGACTGAGTTTATTCCTATCAGTAAGTGCGTAATATCAGGGCTACAAAAAAAAGGGTAGTGAACAGTTCCATAATATCAGTCTTACTGTACTGCCATTTGGTGAATGGGGTCTGGATTGTGCAGCAGTTTGTTTCTTTAAAATCACGTAAGTTTTATCAGCTTAATAAAAATATATGCAAAAGTTGGATAAATTTTGTCTTTACAAATATGAGTACCACTCAAAATTACAAAATTGCTTTTGGACAATCATAATAAATTTTAAAAGTTAAACAATAACACCACCTCCCAACATAAAAACCATATCAATAAACTACTACAATCACTGCTAACAATGCTGAAACAGAATCTTATAAACTTCAAAAGATGATAGGTGATTATCAACCTGGCTGAATTTATGTAAAATTCCATAAAAAAGATCATCCCCTCCCACCTATCATTTCACAAATACCGTCACCTATATATTACCTCTTAAAAACTATTAATAAATTAATTACTCCCTACCTCCCAAGTAAATATTGTATTAACTCTATGTTATAACTGAACGTACCTATTCTATTATTAATAGTCTCTCCCACACATAATAAGTAGTAGTAGTAGCGGTCGCCAGTTGGGCTCAGTGGTGTTGAGCGAGTCAGTCGATGTCGGACATTGAAGTATCAACCATCACAACTAGATTGCTGCGTCATTAACTCTTATGTCAAGTTCCTAACGTTTTGTACGTCGGACCCTTTTTAGCGAAATACAAGCCTCCACTGTGAAAACTACTCTACAACACTCTACAAACTAATTTATACAAATTCTTCATGCTGTAAAAACAAACAACCAAATAATAGCCTCTTTGGTCGTCCAAAATTTGTTTACTAATGTCCCCATCCATGAAACAGTTGACCTCATTATCCGTGATCTAAACAATCACCCTTCTCTCCTACCCATCAATATTAAACCCACTATTAGCCTGTACCACTCAAGTACCTTTTCACGACCCCCTAGGTAAAATTTAGGCCCGCTTTCTTCTAATTATTATATGGCACATTTAGAAAATAAAATACTTAATGACACTAATAACCCCCCTATATATGTTAAATAGATGACATTTCCGTTTTGGTTAAAAATATTGATCAAATGACACAACTTAAAATCAATTTTCAAAGTCACTCCACCTCAAATTTATATTAGAACTTAATATTAATAATAAAATTTCATTCCTTGATGTATTTATTGATTTCAGTACACATAAATTTACTACTTTTCTATATAGAAAACTCACAAGCATTAACTCATGTCTTCTTAATTATAATACTGAATGCCTCCAACGATATAAGTTTACCGTTATAAAAAATTAATCTAACGCACACAAATGATATCTTCTTCCAAAACCATATTCTATAAAGAATTATCTAACATTAAACAAACACTTTTTATTAATGGATTCCCTAATTCCGTCATTGATCAACAAATTAAAATAAAATGAATCTTAATAAACTTATACCTGTAACAAGATTGATAATATTAAAAATAATAGTTGTAACCAAATGCATGACAATTACAAATATGATGAAACAAAAACATAATCATTAATAATAATAAACAAGTTAAGCTCATCATATATTATAAAAAAAATTAAAACAATTGACCTCATAATCTCTAATAATCCTACAACCACACAACTAAATATATGCCCGTTCAGAGATTGTATCGCTGACACCAATAATCAACCCACTATATATATTGGTTTTACTACAACCACGCTCTCTCGTAGACTTACCCGTCACCTTTCTGAACTTAGTTCTATTAAACAACATTTCTTAGAAAAACATAGACATGTAAATAATATTAGATAGATTAAATTAGTTGATAACACAATAATACTCACACATACATACAGTAAAAAAGAACCTTCAAATATTGTAGGCCATTAAAACGAAGCAACCCACACTCAACAAAATTACATTTCAAACTAGTCGCAACACATTACCTTGCATCTAGACATATGGTTATGTTGTTAATATTTCGGTGTCTCACGTGGTCCTCTCACGTGGTACTCTCACGTCATAGAACCGCATCAAAGAATAATAAGTTCAAACTTGAAGGAATAATTTACTCTCTCACATCTAATAATTGCCACAGGTAAAACATAGGAGAAACCTTGAGAAATTCAAATAAAAGAACATAAAATGGATTTTTCATAAAACTATAATGAGTCTGATCATAAATTCGGTTTAGAAATGCTAATTTAATTAAAACAAAAAGCAATATACGCATCGACAGACAATTTCTACCATCGCACCATCCCTTATATCTAGCCACCTAACTCCGCAGACTGCAACCTCCTTGATTATTATGTGTGGGGCGCAGTTGAACGAGAGACCAACAAAACTCCTTGTAACACCAAAGATGAACTGAAGGCAAGGTTTATGTCAGTATTCACCAACTTAAACAAGGAGACCATCCAGAAGAGATGCAGGAGATTCTAAAGTTGTCTTGGGGGCCGTGCTTGAAGCCAAAGATGATTTTATTGAATAAATTTACTCTTTATTTCAAGGTCAATTTCTGGTCCTTTTTTTTCTCGCTTACATAAGATTCAAAGCTTTTCCAATGGCATTAGTACGAAGTGAACGACACTAAAACATTCATAATCTGAACCCGACCAGCTGATTCCAATTTAGTGTAAATTATCGTTACATTACCCTCCCGCCTATCTTCTTTCTGTTCTTCTTGTGTCCTGTCCCTTCAGGGCGTATGCAGTTATGGCTCTCCACAAGTTCCTGTCATTTGTAACTCTTAATAAGCGTTACGTTTATATCATCTCTCTTAAACTTTGTTACGTCATCCATTTACTCAAGCTCTCTAGGTAGGTTATGCGTTGTTTTTCCTCTTTCGCTTTGCCCTTCAATATGACTTGAGAGTATCATATTTTCAACTCCTTCTTTCATGGAAATTTCAAATCTATCCCCCCACCTGATGCTAAGCATAAATGTCATTCTTATTTTCAATTCCTCGAAAACTTCGTCACATGTTCGCTTCATGTTATTTTCAGAATCCTTCTGCAGAAATATATTTCTATTTCTGCAAGTTTCATTTTCATATGTAAGTAGATTTCCAGCATTCACTGCCATATAGGAGAATTGGTATTACATAACAGTACAGTACTCTTCTTTTTTTCTTTTTCTTTTGTTTCTAACAAAATGTTTCTGTTTCTTATTACAGTGATTAGCTTTGGGAAGGCATCTTTCGCCCTTCTAATATCTCTTCGGATTTCAGTGTCACACTTTCCGTTCTCTGTTAAATACTTTTTCCAAAAAAATACATTGACTTCCGACCAGATTTGAACTCCACACCACTTCTTGTGGTGTTAAATACATAACATCGGTAAGGAATCGTCCGTTTTAGACTGACACTGAAGTCAAATAGGAGGATAGCTAGACAACAGCAATAATCCCTTTGGTTTCAGCGTTATTATGAAGGATTTTATAGAACCTCGATATTAACCCTCCTCTAAACATATGTCCGAAAGGCTGTCGACAATCTCCTCACAGATGATGAGGAGACTTGAGGCGGTAGAAATGTGGTTCTACGGGAGGATGCTGAGAATACCATGGACCGAAAATGTGAGCAATGACAAAGTTTTAGAGAAAATGGAAACAAAAAGAAAAGTTATGCGTAACACCAGGAAGAGACAGTTGAAAATTCTACGGAGCATAATGAGGAAAGAGGGCTTGGAAAATCTGATACTCACAGGGCAGATTGAAGGGAAAAGAGACAGAGGAACACGATGCTTAACTTACTTAAATGGTTGCCGGATTTGGAGAAATAACAAAAAGACAGAATTTATTAAGAGGTACAAATGACAGGAAATTGTGGAAAGACATGATCGCCTACATCCTAAAGGAACACGGAAGAAAAGGTAAGGATGATACTTAAAAATCGAATGTTATCTTAACGAGATGCGATAAAAAGCAAAACATTTAAGATGTAAGAAAAAATGTCATAAAAATAATTTTGCATGCAAATTTTGAAATTGAATCCAAGTCATATTTTAAAGCTGTTGTAGAGGGGGGGAGCATTAGAAAATGAAGCTCAAGTTACAAACCCATCTCTAAAAAATATATATCGATACACATCAGGAAAACTGTTATGATGTTCAATATTGAAAATACGTGATTTGACAGCGAGTGTGAGATTTGGTTCAGCATAAAAGAACACATATGCCTGTCAAATAATGCGAGGCTTCAGGCTATGCCAGAACTTTTTTTAGCGCTAAATTACACTGTTTTCCCTTGAAATATGGATTCTCATTCATGACGAGAATTAGTT